TTAGAAAGAATAATGCAAGAAGGTAAACGTTTAATGAATATACATCAAACTCATACACATGGTCATGATAAAGCATCATTAAATAATTTAACATCATTACTTCTTCATTCATATTATAATCCATATAAAGATACAAGAAATTCAAAAATAAAAGAAATCCATCAAATGAATTTATTAAAACATATTGAAGATCTTTATACAACAATTGATCATGATAATACAGATATTGTTGCTGCATTAGAAAGTGCATTTATTAAATTAGATCGAGATATATGTGCTGAAGCAATACCTACTGGTACACAACAAGTTGATGAAGATTTATTACAAATTTGTACAGCTGGTTCATGTGCATGTGTTGCTTTAGTTAAAGATGATAATCTTTATATTGCTAATTGTGGTGATGCACGAGCTGTTCTTGGTAAATTAAATTGTTTTTATTTAATAGAATAAAACTTCTTTCTAATGTCAATACTATTGAGACTAATCGTACTTGCTCGTTTTACGGAGATGCTTATTATTGTCAGATTTTCAATTCCTTTTTTTTTTTTTTTGTATTGACATAATTTGATATTACTAGTTGTTAACATAAAAATGACGAGATGTTACATTATCAAGTATTGTTGCTGATAATTTTCTTTAGTGAAAATCTAAACATACTTTCTTTTGATTTTGTTGTCAAGTACTTGTAAGCACTTACGAGGGTTACAATAGAACGGTATATAAACAAATAAACAAATAACATCATTTTTTTTCTTATTCTGCATTCGAGTGATGCAACATGTGTTACTCATAGAGAGATATGTAAGCATAATTTTAGTTCTGGTCATCGTGACCTAGCTTACGAGAAAAAAACTATTCTAATCAAAATGTAAGATTATCATAAGATATTCTATAGTTTCAAACAGAACTGTGTGCGACCAATTTTTGAAATTACAAAAATTGATCACACAGAATTTTGCTTTTTTTTTGAAAACAAAAATTACACAATTAAAATAAACTTGACTATAGAGATTGTAGGGTTTTTCATGCTGCATGTTGTGATATATGCTGATTTTTTAATAAAATGTGTTTAGAGATTAAAATATGAAATGCAAAATATACGACCATTTATTCTGGATCATCCGTTGGCTTTTAAATATAATGTGACACATTTGGTGGGCCAAAAGTTTTGCAAAATTTTTTATTTTACATATATCACAGATTCAGAGAATAATAACATCTTGATTCTTTTATAGAAAGATACGCTGTGAAAAGCTCTACAAGAACTGTATGGAGAGATCCCTATTAATTGTCTTAACCAGTTCTGACAGTTTTTCCGTGCTCAATATGAACATTCTGAACGAGTCAAGCTGTGAATTTCGAGGCATTCTGGAACTTGACTTGCCCACAACTCTTTACGTTCCATTTTAAAGTATTCAGTTCCGCCGCATAAAATACTCAATCCATTAAACTCTTTCATCCTAGATATGATGATTGAGGTTTTGAATCAAAAAAACTTTTCTATGGTCGATTTTGCCAACAAATTCGTTCCCTAAGCTTTTTTTAAAATTTTGTACATATCTCGACTAAACAAAATGATAGGATTTTGACTTTTTTTCTGAAAAATGTATCATGAAAGGCTCTATACAAGTTCTATGATTAAATTTCTGTAGAAAAATAAAAATATGTTATTTCATATTGATTATAGAAAACCTATCAAAAGAATTCAGTAGGAATTTCTTAATACAATTTTGAAGAGCTTTCCACGGCGCATCTTTGTACAAAAGAATGAAGATGTTATTAGTCTCTAAAGCAGAGATATATGCAAAACTTTTGGCCCACCCGGTATATTGCAATGAATGTAAGGGGTGAAGGCTCAAAATCTCTACCTTTTTATTTCAACATTCCCTTTAAATTGTGTTTCACAAAAAGTTACCGTGACAAACAAAAAGCTTGGTCCCAAATATCTCACCAGATCAGCAATAAGTGTCCACTGTTGAGAATAAAGTGGTGCTCATTATAAAGAAGTTTTACTGCATTAATCAATTAAAAGGAAAATAATTCTTTTTTTTTTTTTGTTTTTGACAGGTACTATTGATGACGAAGGCAATCAAACAGTTGTTCATCTTTCTCAAGATCATAATGTACGTAATCAAGCTGAAGTAAAACGAGTTTTATGTGAACATCCAATAAATGAAGCAAGTTCCGTAATACGTAGTGATCGTTTACTTGGTTTATTAATGCCATTTCGTGCATTTGGTGATATACGTTTTAAATGGCCAGCTAATTATCTTCGTGAATATTTACAACCATATTATAAAAAAGGCGATGCTATACCACAATTTTATTTAACACCACCATATTTAACTGTTCGTCCTGATATATCAAAACATAAATTAACAAAAAAAGATAAATTTCTTGTTTTAGCTACAGATGGTGTTTGGGATTTATTATCATCTGAAAGAGTTGTACAACTTATATTTAATCATCAAAAAGGTATACAAAGTTTTGATCGTTTTGTATTACATAAAAGTGGTAGTACAGCAACACTTAAATTAAAAGAAATTAATGAATTATTACTTGCAAGACAACAAGCTATTAAAAATCAACCAATTGATCAAAATTCAGCAACACATTTAATACGTCAAGCACTTGCATATACATCAAAAGGACAATTTGATAGTAAACTTTTATCTGATGTATTAACATTTCCTAATCCACGTTCAATACGTGATGATATAACAATAACAGTTGTTTATTTTGATCAAGATTATATTGATCATATACAAACAAAACAAAAGACAAAATAGAGAATAAATGCAAAAATTTTTATGTTAAATAGAGTGCTTTTTTTTTTCTTTCTTTCTTTCTATGTCTCTATTTGATATGGAATTATTTTTTTAACCTGTCACCTCTCAGACCAAGATTATTTTTTTTTTCTCTACTCTTATCACATGTATTCCATGTGACAACTATAATAGATTTCTATTGGTCTATTCTTATTGTTGAATAAGAATTTTATAGAATAAAACTTTAGTCAATATATTTATTCAAAAAATAATCTCAATGAATATTCATAAGATTTATTTATTATTTAATTGAAATTCGTGTTTAAAATATCGACACTAGATCAGTGATTTATGTAAGATTTTCTTTTTTCCAGAAAGGGCGATTTAAAACTTTGGAAGGCTAAGCGCTTATCTTTTGGGAGCATAGGCATATTGTATGTGGATACAATAGCCATAAACTCCCGTATACCCAATCCGATCTTCGAAGGAACACCTAGATACAGGCAAGACGATCCCATCGAGAGCAGAATTAACATTTTATCATCGGAAACGATATCTTTTTTTGGTCATGTAAAGCTTGCGTCAAATGTCACGAGTCATGTGTCCTAAATAGAGCTATGGGCAGGATGGTTCCGGCTCCGATAGGATCCGGACAAAAATTTGAAGATAGGTAGCTCTGATCCTCAGCTAGTACGTCGCCCTAAATGTCGTTCTTGCTCTTGGCCTAATCTCTTCCGTTTGATGATAAAATATATAGCCGGGTTTTATAGAAAAATTCTGGAAGCTGCTGGCTCTTTCAAAGAATAGGTGTTAAATTTGAATTATCTTTCATTTTTAAACATTCATAAATATGTTTATCTTCTTGTTGTTGGTGTTCTTCAATATTAATATTTTCTTCTTTTCTTATTGATAATAACATATGTAAAATTGGTACATTACCTAATCGATAAGCAATATGAATTGCTGTATGTCCAGCCGGAAGACGTCTTCACAAAAAAAGAAATACTGAAAATAGAATTATATTGAAACAAAAAATTCAATCGTACAATTTTGGATCGGCTTTATTTGCCAAGAGATATTCAACACAAAGAACTTGATTATAATATGTAGCTGTTGATACTGCTGATTCACCATATAAATTAAGTGCATTAAGATCAACACCTAATCAGTAGAATCAAATATTTATTTACATTTTATAAAAGTCAAGTAAAGAGTACGTTCGAAAACGATTTCGTTTTTATGGTTAAAGTATTTTGAGATTAATTTACTTAGAGTATATGAAAAGTAGTGACGAAGATATTTTAATAGCTTTGTAAAAAGCTTAAGCAAACCTTCATAAAGGAACTAAAGTACTTTTCGTATGGGTATGGATATGTGCAGTCCAATGGAGAAAAAGCGCAATTCCAGTACTTCGAAGTACTGGAGTCGCGTTTTTCCTCCTCGGATTCTACCTAACCGCTTCTGACTCTAACTAATTGTCTTTAAGTAGCCGAAAACGGACAAGAGAATTACCCGAACTGATATCCGCCGTTTGAGCTCATATTGACTTTATAAGGAGGAGGTTTCAATAAGACTAAAAAAGGCTCTAAAAAGGTTTTGACCTATGGATCTCTGGAGCTGAGTTATGAACGTTTTACTGAATTTTCGATATCTAAGGCTGAATCAAAAATTCACTATAACAGCCATAGGTCTACTCCATAGGCACGAATTCTTTTAGGGTTTTTCTAATCTTAACGAGACTTCTTTGTAAACCCAATATGAGTTCAAACGGTGGAAGTGAATATTTTTTACTAAGACTTTCGCGCCATAAATGAATAGAAGATTTGTAATTTGATTTCTTATAAGTATATTTACTGCTACATAAGAAATAAGATATTCATCTTAAATTATCATATATCATAATGATTAAACAGGAGTCTAAATAAAATTTTTGAAAATGTATCTAAATTACTTACTATGTAATTGTAAACATTTTTGAATTTTAACCGTTTGACCTAATCATGCAAATTGACAGAAATCGTCGGCATTAGCCATGATCTGAAAACATCCAAATCTTGCCAGAAAAGTTCGTTTTCTATTTTTTGTTTTCTTTAATTCTATGTCATTTTAATCTCAATATATCGTTCTTTTCTTTTTTGTTATGTGAAAATAAATACTAATTATGTTCTTTTTTTTTATATAAATTATATACAAAAAATAATTTTTCACTAAAATCAGAAAAGTGAAAAATGTCTAAGCGGTTGTATCATGATGTGTTCGTTTAGATTTAATAGTTGATGATGATAAAGTTTCTTCATTATGTTGTTTTATTTGATTATTATCTATTGATGAAAGAGTATTCGATGTTAATGAATTAATTGTATGATTTTTATTTGTTGAATGAAGTAATGTTAAATAAATATCAGTTAATATATCATTATCTGATGTTCCTTCACTAAGTGTTGTTGCTGGTGATGATGATATTGATTGTGATAAAGGAATATGTATTTCATTATTAGGAGAATTTATTTCTTGACTCATCCAAAGTGTAAGAAATTTTCCTTGACTATCAATAGTTGATCGTCGATTTGATATATCAATTCCATCAACAATGACAAATTCAATATCTAAATAAAAAAATATCAAAATTAATTAAATAGTAATCTATATACATAATATTCAGTGTCTGTTGGACATCTCTATGCCCAGGTCAAAGGTCAAATAAGGCTATAAGTGCTGCCATATTGGGATACCCCATAGGTTCTCAAGGGCTATTATATAGGGGTACTTATAGGTCTTCAAGAGCTGTAAGGGGTAGGAAATAAGGATATAATGGTAAAGGGATAAGAGGTTAAGGCTACAAGGACATAAGGGATAAAATTAAAAGAGTATAGAGAGATAAGGGTATAGTGGATAAGTAGAAGAGGCTGCATGGCATATAAGGGATAAAGGAATAAGATTATAAGAGATAATACCACAAGAGTATAAGGCTATAAGGTCTCTCGATATACATATATAATGCGAACTGTCTGATTGTCTATTACTGAATCAAGGCTAAAGGACAGATGTGAAACTTTCCAGGAAAAAAGCATCCGTGCAGTATGCGCGGGCTCTCGCAAGCAATAATAATAATTCATATTTAACCTTGTCGTTGATAAACATTTAAAATTGAATGTAATGTTTGATCAAATTCAATAATATAAATCAGATCATAAATAATTCGTTGTGTATTAATTAATTGATCTTTAATATTAATATGTAATCGATTTACTGTTAAAGCTAAACATGGACTAAATCTATAATAAAAATTAGAGAATTTAATTTTTAATTTTTTGTTTTCTCGTAATGAAATTTTTACTGACTGTTTAAATGTTAAAGTTTTCAATTGATTTTTATCATTACATCGAAAGCATATACATGATAATTGACTTGATTCAATTAATAATTTTAATTGTATTTCATCAACATCATGAATAACATCATCAATACTAGAAAATAAAACACAATCAATGAAAGAATAAGAGATCACTAGGATTTGTTTTTTTTTATGAATCTTTTGATTAAACTTTACGTCTTCGACACTCTCAAAAATAACGGAAGAAATTTATCGAATAACAGAAAATTTCAATCCCTACCCAAAAATTGATTTTGGGTCATAAATATTCAAATCGTATGAAACTTTCAACTTTATGTCATAAAGTTTTCAGGAGATATTCATCAAAAAAGATGCAAAATAGCTCAAAAATTATCTGTAGATACTTAAAGTGTGTTTTCTTTTTTATTTGAAAGAGCATGGTTGACTGCAAATCCTGACTAAATTCTTATCTTTTATGCAGAAAAAAAAGGAGGTAACAAGTTTACTACATGAAAACCGACCGGTTTTTTTTGGGTCAGGTTCTATTGTTTAATAGGAATGACTTCAAGAAGAATATTAATTTTTTCCTTTACACTTAGATTTTTAGAAATCTTCATCGGTAGTTAATTACTAAACTTTAAATCTTGAATTTTTCTATTTAGATTTTGTAGACAAACCTAATGTTTCTTTTTGAACGACGGTCCAAATCTAAATCTGATCTCTGAAGAAATAACTCATATTGTTTATGAAAGATCCAATGTCAATCTATCCTCTTATGTATTTATCTTAATTTCAATAATTCTCATGGTAATGAATTTTTGGATGTGAACGCCTTAAAGAAAATCAAAATTTTAGTTTTAACTTTTAGCTTTGATATAGATGCTGAGAGTTATACGAAATAAAATTGTTCTTTGAATTAATACCTATTTGATATTGTACAATCACATTCATGACATTGACAATGTTCATCAAGAATAGTTGAAAATAATTCTTTGAGACATAAATCAGAACGAAAAAGACGACGAATATTTTGTATTATATTTGTATGTAAAGAATTCTGTCTACAATATTCAATTAAATAATATCGATCATTTTATTTATTAAAATATCAATATTAATAAATTATAGAATAGTATAGAATCAATAGCTTTTTACTTTAAAGCTAGATTCCATATACATATAAGATAACGACATATGAATGTCATCCGATAAAGCTTGAAACCTGATTTATTCAAGTTTATAGCCATTATCTAACGTCAAACTACATATATCGTTATCTTTTGATTTTTACCTATAATAATAAAAAGAAAAGTATAAATGAATTATGAAAAAAAAAAATTTTATTAATCCCAATACTAAAATTCTGTTTTATTGACTTTAAATGAGTAAATGTTATTTGTGTGTGTTTTATAACTCACTTTAATATATTTTGTAAAATATTTGTATAATCATTTAAAAGTTTTATTTGATCAATTGATGAAGAAAATAATGTTTGAGAAAGATTATGAAATATTGATAAATTTCGTGACGAACAACGATATAATATGTCAGTAAGACATGTTGATATTATATAATAATTTGATGAAAGTTGTCGGGTACTAATCAATCTCGACCAAATATTTTCACTAGTCATTTTGAAGCAGAAATAATTTAAATAGTTTTTTGAAAGACAATTTAACTACTTAATTGTACAATTTAACTATTTAGAGGTTTATTTTCTTCAAAAATGGTTGATATAATATCACTGTCCTTAAGCGACTTCTATCGATTTATATTTTTTCTACTCTCAATTAATCAATTGTTTGTTGAGAATACAAATACGTGAGATTGTAAATTAAATAATGATGTGTCTCGAGTGCTTGTAATATAAATAAAAAAAGGCTTATCGTTCACCATCCTTTCTTATTTTATGTAGACAATGACCTCGATATCTAAACACGTTTTGAACAATTAGTAAATGGATTATAAGCTTGAACTCAATAATATGAAAGAATATATAAAAAAAACATTTTATTCAAGTTATACATCATTGAAATCGAAAGAAATCAAAATGAATAATACAATTTCTTAATGAATGTTAAAAACGTGATTTTATGTTAAAAATATTTTATTGAATATAGTTTTATTATCTTATAAATTTCAACATATATCATTCAATAAAAATGTTTGTAATTGAACAACAACAATATTTGTTAGTTTTTATTTTCATGCTTTCTTTATTAAAACAAACAATTGTTAATGGTATTGCTGGTCGTTGTTATTTATGTTCACAAAATATACTTGCTGAATGTGTTGGTAGTAATCAGTCTGATTCATCTATTTATACAACTATTCTTAAATATTATACTGAACCATGTAATGGTCAATGTATATTATTTCGAAATACAGATCATTCGATTGTACGTGGATGTTCATGGACATATGGATATATGACACCAAAATCAATTGGATGGCATGAAATAAGTCCAGGTATAAAAGTTTACTTTTGTAATTCTCATTTATGTAATAATGGTACTTATGAACAACCAGAAATATCAATGATAAATAGACAATTTATTTTATCACCTCAAGATTTATTTGTATTAACAGGGAATAATCCTTCATTGATAGCAAAAGGTAAATTTGATATAGGATATTCAGGGGTGGCGCGAGTCAACCAACATTGGGGGGGTGTAGCGAAATTTTTTGGACTAGAAAGACGAAGTCTGCAGTTTTTCGGGGGGTGTAACATTGTTTTTGGTGACAAATGGAAGAAAATTTCCTGATTTTGTTGAGCAAAAAAACAGAAATTTTTGAAGATTGGGGGGGGTGACGCACCCCCGACTACCCCCCGGTCGCGCCACCCCTGAGGATATTTGTTTTCTTTTTATTCAATGTGTTATAGACATAAACAAGTAGCGAATCGAAGTGTATGAAGGAACGTCTTCAAATTTCAAATATAGTTTTTCATTGGAGATTATTGCCATTTGATTGATCATAATGAGGAGTGAGAAAGTCTGTTTGAATTTCGTTTTCCAGTCTTCGCTTATTCGACTAGCAACGATTGAAACTAAATCAGACTTTTTTACTATTTATTAAGAGAGACTTCGCCAGTCAGTCGACTATTGTGTCATAGAGTTATTTTGTGATAAAAACTAACATATACCTTTTTTCATATCAATCGATTGCTCATACAAAACTGGGATTAGGAAAAGATTTTTCGACTTCTGTAATCTAACTTGACGGAGTTACAGGTATTGAAACACGAGCGATGTCTGAAAAACTAGGGAAAAAAATTAGTTCCATTGTTTTCCTTTATATCTCAGTAGTTTTTTGTTCTTTCAGATTGGCCAACGTCTCATTCGAAAGAGAGTTTAAAACTGAACAAAAAACTTCTTAGATATTCCTGAAAAAATTAAGTCTTCATGTCGTAAAAATTTTTCTTCTAAAAAACTCGGCATTTTTGAAACGAAGTTTTTTTCATTGTAAGTCTTTTTTTAATATCATAATTATTTGACGAGAAATTTTATTATATGGCATCTTGTAGAAAATTTCACACTCTACAGGGTGTCCTATAATAAAATTTCTCGTCAGATAATTATCATATTAAAAAAAGACTTACAATGAAAAAAACTTCATTTCAAAAATGTGAAGTTTTTTAGAAGAAAAATTTTTACGATATGAAGACTTAATTTTTCCAGGAATGTCTAAGAAGTTTTTTTATTCAGTTTTAAACTCTCTTTCGAATGAGACATTGCTCAACTCGAACGAACAAAAAATGGCTGAGATATAGACTAAATACTGTGGGTGACCGTTTTTCATTGATTTACTCGAGTCCTTCATGTTTCAACGTCTGTAATTCCTAGAGGTCTAAACATTTTATCATAACCATAGTTTGACAGGAGTAATCGTTTGATGAAAAAAAAAGCACATGTTAATTTTAGTCATAAAATGGAATTTCTCGATGGTCTCGCAAAACTTCTCTTAAGACCGATCGACTGGTAGAAACTTTAAGTGATTGAACAATAAGGAATCTAAAAAGTTTCTAATTAGTATAATGTTCTAGTCAATTCTCTAAAAATAATTCATATATTTAGAACAATATTGGTCTCATCAATGCTATTCATGTACAGCACGTTTTCAAGGTTGTGGTGAAATTTTAGATCCACATTATGCATCAAATTATATTCGTCCATGTCCATCGAGTTGTATTATTTTCCGAAATCCTAATGATCTTAATTGTAAATATATAAACAAAAAAAAACAAAAAAATATTTTTTTTGTTTTCTATACTTTATATTGAAGTAATTACACGAGATTGTTCAATATATTGGCCACGAGTACATGCTAAAAACGGTCTTCATAAATTACTTGGTTCGGATGCATTCTTTTGTCAAGAATCTTTGTAAGAAAAATAAAAATATAAAATAATCAAAATATTCTTCTTTTTTTTTGTTAAAGGTGTAATGGGATTAACTTCGATTTCATCATAGGTAGTTTTTCATATCTATTTAGAATCTTAGGAATTGTTGAAAATATTTTCTGATCCTATCTAAACAATTTTTTTGGAGATAGCTCTTCCAGATATCAAAAAAAACACCTTTGTTCTGTTACTGAAATTTTGAATTAGAATCTGGGCGATTCCTAAATAATAATGTTTAAATATTATTTTGATAAATAGGGATTTTTTATAATCAATTACCAGTTCCTACAAATGGAAATATTTTAACAACAACAACAACAACAACTACAATAAGAACAACTGTTGATATCTATAATGATAATGTAATATGGGATGATCCTGATTTAGATTTTATTCCTATTGAATCAACAACAATACCAGATGTTTTAAATCATTTTTCTTCTTCTACTCCTATTGATCATTTTGATTTTATTAATCAAATATCTCCTAGTAGTACAATTGTTGATGATTTAACTAATGTACAATCAAATTTAACATTAAGTTGGTGGAATTTGAATGATACTTCCTTTTCAACATTAATGTCATCAACTTTAGGAATTGATGAAGAAGATTCAATAATATTTAATACAACTTCAATATCATTAACTACACGATTTGAACATTTATTAGATGATAATGATAGAGAAAATAATAATAGTGAAGAAATTGATGAAGAATTAATAGATTTAAAATCTAATATAAATGATTATAGTCTTTCTTCGACATTAACAACAACAACAACAACAACATCAATTATTGAAGAATATATAAAACCATTATCAACATTTCCTACATCATCATTCTCTTGGTTATTGAATATGACAGAACAAAATAAAAGTCAATTTTTAAATTCAACAATAACAAATCACAAGCAAAATGTTCAATTTTTAAATTCAACAATAACAAATCACAAGGAAAATGTTCAATTTTTACATTCAACAATCACAAATCACAAGGAAAATGTTCAATTTTTACATTCAACAATAACAAATCACAAGGAAAATGTTCAGTTTTTAAATTCAACAATAGCAAATCACAAGGAAAATGTTCAGTTTTTAAATTCAACAATAACAAATCACAAGCAAAATGTTCAATTTTTAAATTCAACCATAACAAATCACAAGCAAAATGTTCAATTTTTAAATTCAACCATAACAAATCACAAGGAAAATGTTCAATTAATAAATACAACAAGTAAAACATCAAATATATTTTATGAATATTGTAAAAATAAACAATGTTATCATCATGGACGTTTAAATTCTGATTGTTTATGTATTTGTCTACCTGCTTTTACAGGAGATAATTGTGAAACAGGTAAAAACGAAAAAAAAAAGTTTCTTTTTTAAATAGAAATGTATTTGTTTTTTTTTGTTTTTGTAGTACTTTGTGAACAAGAACCAACACATATTTGTGCTTTTATACTTGAACATGAATGTCAGATTGATTATATTCAATATTTATGTCCTAAATTTTGTCAGATGAATAATTGTTCTTCGTTAGAAATGTAATTTTTCCTATTCCTTGTATAGGAATTATTAATAAAAAATAATCAATTTCGATATTTTTATATGATGTTCGATAAAGCTCTATGAGCTCTACAAAAATTTTCAAATGAACAAATTGAGCTGAAAAAAATGCATTAGTACTAAAAACATCAAGTTACACTAGCTTGTAGACATATTTTTTTAATATCATTATTCTATAATGAAAAAAATCCATCTATTACTGTGTCGCGAAGCGAACAGTGAAGAAACAATCGAAAGCTGATAGGTTCATTGAACTCGTTTTTCTTGATTCGTCAGCCGCTACAAGATATTCACTAACTTATGTATCAAACAAGTATGAGAAAGAAAGAAACACGAGATTAAGTTCCACGTGCGCACCGATATATTCTTGTTTCAAAATTCTTTCTTCATCTCCTTCGACGCAATCTCTTGCCTCCCAGTCACAACTAAAATCAGAAACTTTCTTTTTTCCCCTTCCGATAGCAAAATGCTTTAATGCTAAACCTTCATTTTATCAAATGCACGATACAACGATAAAGTGAACAATCTTTCTTTTAACTTCAATCATTAC